GTGGGTGTGGGTGTGGGTGTGGGTGTGGGTGTGTGGGTGTGGGTGTGGGTGTGGGTGTGGGTGTGGGTGTGGGTGTGGGTGTGGGTGTGGGTGGGTGTGGGTGTGGGTGGGTGTGGGTGGGTGTGGGTGGGTGTGGGTGGGTGTGGGTGGGTGTGGGTGGGTGTGGGTGGGTGTGGGTGGGTGTGGGTGTAGTTGTTCTTTTAACCTACACCCACTCCCACACCCCACACTCATGATTAACCTACTGTTTTTATGGATCACAATTCATTATCAAGACGAAAGTGCCCATGTAACGAGCGAAAAAAATAACCTATTCTTTCAAAAGTTAAAATAAATATATTTTCTACACAAAGACATAAATATTCGTTTAAATTTGATTCCTATAAAGGATATTTACTCATTTGAACTACATCGACTGCTCTCATATATAAAGAAAAGGCCGCTTTTTAATCATTTTCAAGATGATATTTAAAAAGTAACATACTATGACATAAGAAGAAAGAGCTAAAAATTAAAAATAAAACAACATTTTTTATAATTGCTTTCATTTCTAATCGATATATTAAAGAGAGTGTGGGTGTGGGTGTGGATGTCGATGTGGGTGTGGGTACGAGTATGGATGTGAATGTGGATGTGGGATGTAAGTGTTTATGCTGGTGTGTAATTCCTGTTTTATCTCTCACTCACACCCGCATCTACACTCATACTCGTACCCGCACCAATACTCTCACCCACACATCACTCCGACGTGATCCGCTCTGTGGTACCTATGACATTCACAAGGGAGCTCTCGTTTGTTGTGCGCGCTCAAGTGAATGTGCACGAATTTATTAAAAAAATAAAAAAAATTAGATTTTCTTTCGAATTTCTTCAAATGTCTCTTTATATTCCAAAAGATGAGGATGAGTTGAAGGTAATTTTTCTTCAGCAATATCAATTGCGTGTTGGATATTATTCATTGCCATTTTATATTCTTGAGTAGCTAAACATAATTTTGCCATATTGTGATATACAACAGCTAATTCAGGATGATTTCTTGATAATATCTTCTGACGTATTTCTAACCCTTTTTGATAATATGTCATCGCTGTTGAACAATCTTTCATTTCACGATATGTTTCACCTAAGTTTATGTATGTTGTTGCAATCTGAAGAGGGTTACATTCCACATGTTCTTGAATATTTAATGCTTTTTGATGAAGTGAAAGCGCCTTTTCATAATTACCCATTAATCGATGAACATCACCAATATCACTACATGTAGTAGCTCGATCTGGGTGATTTTCAGGTAGTGTTTTTTGGCGTATTGAGAAACAACTTTCGAAATTCTCAAGTGCTTTTGGATAATCTTTCATGTTTCGATAGATCTTTCCGAACCACTTGTATGGATAAGCTGAATCACGGTGATCTAGCGAAAGAACTTGTTTCTTCATTTCCAAGTTTTTTTTGAATATTCAAGTGCTTTCGAGTAGTCTCCCATTCTAAAGGACACTGCCGCAATTTCATTGTATGAAGTAGCCAACGAGGGATGATTCGAAGCCAGAGCTTTTCCTTTTATTTTAAGTGATTTTTCGTAAAATCCAAGTGCTTTCGAGTGA